GTTGCATTTAGAAAGTGATCTTCTATCTTGATCTCAAATAAATGCCTGTAAATTTTTAATGGGAAAGGAGCACCACAGTAAACAAAGTAGCTGCTCTTTTTCAAATGCACTCAAATCCAAAATAATTTTCTCTTCATGACAGAGAATAAACAAATGTTAAATCAGCTACATCTTCTACACTCCCAGTTAGATAGTCTCAGTGAGCATTAAAATATTACAAACCTAAATACAGCGAGTCAATTTAGGGTAGGGGGTCATGGTTTTGTATATTTTAAAGTTCCCTTTAAAATTAAAACATTGCTTTGTTTATATAAAGTACCGAGTGTTTTTTTAAAAAAACAATTATATTTTTACACTTAATTTTCATTTAAATTCCTTATTGCAATGTTCTCATTAGTGTCCTTCGTTTTGTTTGTTTACTTGTTGTTGTTGTTGTTTTTTTCCTGATAGAGGTTTTTCTTAAATAAACCTTCATACCCCTCAAACATCATCTTTTCAAGTTTCTGTCTGCTAACAAAATATTAGGAGAGGCTAGGAGAATTTAGTTTGTTTGGCCTAGAGATGAGAAGGCAAAGGGAACCAAAAGGTAGTCTTTCACTATATATGGGGAAAGCTATAGAGACAGAGCCAAACCCCTCTTAGAAGTGCTCAGTGAAAGACCATGAGACAAAGGTAGCAACTGGTTTGACTAGACAGAGGAAGAAATTCTTCATGGTGAGAGTGGAACATTGCTGGAAGAGACCACCCAAAGAAGCTGAGGAATCTCCATCCCTGCAAATTTTGAAAAGTCAGCTGCAGCCTGATCCAAGTTTGCTATCAGCCCTGCATTGAGCAGGGTATAGGAACGGCTGACCCCCAGGGGTCATTTCCAATATAAATTTCCCTGTTCTTCTCCAAAAGAAGAATTAAAATAATGTTGTTGTTTGTTTTTTTTTAATGAGGACAAGTCAGCCTCCATTATACTTAACAGTCAGTACTATTCATTAGAGTTAGGACAGCTTACTGGAGTTGACATGATGTGCACTAAACTTCTAAGTTTTATACACAAACATTTCTCTGCAGTTTACATGAACAAGTCTTCCTTTAGATGCTGAGTTTGTTATACATTCATTATGATTAACACTTTAGATAAGACACAGGGTATTTTTGAACCTTCTCTCACCGTCATCATTACTTTCTGTGGAACTTTGTCAATGTACTCTGTGATTCTGTACTCCAGGTACAGTCAAATAATTGCAACATTTTACACAGAAGTATAAATAGCTGTATTTACCTGAACTTATAGCCTGGTTCTGCAAATATTTGCCACTGTGTACAAGCAGTTCTATTCATTCTAGTGGCTTACTCTACTTGTGTCCTAGTGGAAAACCTAAAAGTGTATTTGAGAATCTGCTTCTGTTGTTTCAGAAAAGTAGAGAAGTATTAGCTTGCACCCATCCACCACAGCACATAGTACTCCCTCACTCTGTGTGTGACTCTGAGTTTCCTTTTCTATCTGAACAACTTCATTTCAGTCTTCCTCTCATTCATCCACTATGGGATTACTCTTCTAAATATTTATGTTCTTGTCTAGCTTTGTTTCAACCACCAACTACATCAGTGTATGGTTCAAAACATCAAAATATCCTTTACATTTGCTAAGTGAAACTGACATTGTTGTGCTATGTCCTTTTAGGTAATATTAATCACATTTGTGTTTTATTACGTTGTCACAAGCTGGTACTGGGGGAATAATATAGCCTGACATTGTGAAACCTGCCAGGCATCTCAGTTTTTTCTCATAGTGGGCCTGCAAAGCTTAAGGAGCAGAAAAAATCACCCAGGAAAAACAGGGGTTTTTCTTTCTGCCATGCATCTCATCTGGCCTTGATTCTTCTGAATACAAGTTAGAAATAACTTCTATCCATTTTGCTGGAAGCTACCCTTAAATGCAAAAATCTGGTCCTTACCTTCCATTACCAAAATGCTTACATGTACAAACTCTGCTGGCAACTTCACAGCCAACACTTCCATACATGGTCTCCATATGTGTGCAGTTACATAGCAGTGGCAACATAGCAACCCGGTATAGTCCATGTGGCTTCTGATGCATCTTCCCACCCTTATTATCTGCTGAGGAGAAGTGAACTGGTCTTTGGCTGCCCAGACTGCTGATTGTATTTTTTTAAAGGTAGACATAACATTTTATTTTTAGTTGTTGTTTATTTTTGTATTTCAAAGTCACGCAAAACTCTGCTGTATTTGCCACCAGTTGAACTAATTTTGTGAAATTAAAATGCCAAACAGAAGCAGGAAGAGTTTCACAATGTTGTGCAACGTTGTGCTGCCAAACTCCGTGCTCCTGTGGAGATGTACCTCTTCTGCTGCTGCTGGCTCTTCAAAAGCTCAGATCCTTCCTTTTTACCTTAAAAGCCTTCCAGAACTCTTTTAAAATGCACACATAAAAATTATATAATTCTGTATGTACTGTCAACAAGCCAAACTAATGTGGGCTGTACCAGTCAGGTTTTCCTGTCTCTTACCATCAGTTGCAGCTTCAGTTCACAGAACCTTCTTGGTAATTTGTCTTGGCATTGTCAGTCTTTCACCAGGTCTGAAGAGAAGATAATTGATGCTTCAATCTCCATCTCTGTCCTGAGAAGAGGATTTGAAATACTATGTGGCCTGGAAAGACAGGAAGATAGGGACGGAAGCAGATTTTAAATGGAATAAAATGCTTTCCCTCCTTTTCTCCCTGTCTGATCTCTAGGCTTCATAGTCAAAGGCTGCATTATAACCACTTGTATCCGACCTTCTCAAAACACCTTGCAGCACATTGCTTTTCACACAATGTAGCTGCTATGCTACATAACCCTGTGGGGATCTACTGTGAAGTACTGACAAATATGGGTCCATCTGCTAAAAAAAAAAGTTCACCTGGGAACCTTCTTACGAATAAACCCCGACAAACACAGAAAAGGGGGGACGTTCCTCCTCCGGCACACCTGCTCCGTGCAGCTCTCTGAGGGGACCCGGCAGGCAGGGCCAGCCCGAAACAGGCTGAAGGGTGGGCTGAGGGTGAGTGGTTTTCCTAAGCCATCAAGTTTCAACCCGGTTTAAGTTCAAACGGCAGCGGGGTCCCCGCGGGGCCGGCGGGGGGAGCGGGGCCGGCAG